CAAAGTGAAGCCAGGGCTAAGACAACGTGTAGCAAGTGGCCCCGCAGCAAGCGGGGCAGTAAACTGCAAGACAGTCTAGTAGAGGCTCATCTACAACAGGGGTCAGCAGACTTTTGAGACCGATGAGCCAATCCTGCCACACACAACAGTGTAAACATTATGTGAGAGCCATCGATATATTTTTGAGGAACAAATGAAATCAGCATTATCTGAGTAATATCCTTTTGAAACGTTCCATTTTACTTCAGAGCCACCTGCATGGACCGAGAGAGCCGCTAATGGTATGAGAGCCCCAAGTTTCCTGTTCTAGACCAAGGTCATTAACTGAATTTCCGTGTGAGGGAAGACAGGCTTCTCACACACCGGCCCCTGGGGCAACACAGTTTGCAAAGAGGGACAAAGTAGCTTTTGAGGACACCTTTACATTTGTTTCTCTAAGTCAAGGAGCTGAAAGTGGCTGTTCTCTGCCCTGCCCCTTTGTGCTTGCCCAGCGTCAGCTCCTCTAAGGCTGCTGTGAAGGGGACCCAAATGAATGCTGAGCAGACTTACTCAAACACTGCTTGCAGACAGATGTGAACTTGGCGTGTGGTGAATTCCTGGACTGGTGCAGCAGACATTCCAATTGCGTGCATGCAGAGGTACGTGCTTTGGTTGGCTTCTGGCTTCTGCTGTGGCTCATCTGAAGGCACCATTCACTGCAGCTTCTGGGACTCATCAGGGCAGGTGCAAGTGTCAGGGTGAGGAGTTGAGTTGTCAAGAGGAAAGGAGGAAGGGCAGACAGCAAGAGGTAGCCTCTTCCAGATGCTCCTTGAAAAAGAAAAAGAAAACACAGAAGTCTACTGCCATTGAATTGATTCTGCCTCATTAGGGAGTTGTATCAGGTTTCGGGGACTCTAATGTTTATGGGACTGGACAGCCTCATCTTGCTCCAGGCAGCAGCTGTTAGGTTTGAACCACCAACGTGGACTTTAGCAGCCCCCAGCACCAGCAGGACCCCTTCCTTCTCGAAAGGGCAAGGATAATCAGATCCTGAAGTCTATAACAAAAGGCCTGAGAAGGGGTTTGGCCCACTGTGTTAGTCTGGATAGACTAGAGAAACAAATTCATAGACATGCATATGTGTTTATATCAAAGAACAATTGTATGTTGAGAAAACATCCCAGCCCAGTCCAGGTAAGTCCATAAGTCTGATATTATCCTATATGTTGATACTAGTCCATAAATTCCTCTTTAGACTCATGCAGCCATGCAATGATACCAAATGCAGGAAGATCACAGCTCAGTGGGTGGAAAGCCTTGTGGATCCAGTGGTGGTAGAGCATCGCAGTGCTGGTGTGGGTCTCCACGTGGCTCCTCCAGCTCTGAGGCTCTGGCTGCCATCAGCTGTCTCCATGTGGCTTGTCAACAAGAATGTCTTGCAGGGAGTGTGTGTGTGTCCCATCTCCAGAGAGCTATTTATCTCCTTAGTACCTCCAAATGAGGTCATCAATCTGTGACCTGATTTACAGGCTAAACTTCACCCCTTCACTCTCTCTTTTTAAATCATTTTATCAGGGGCTTGTATAACTCTTACCACAATCCATAATCCATCAACTGTGTCAAGCACATTTGTTGCCATCATCATTCTCAAAACATCACCCCTTCACTCAAGTTTCAAGTTGACAACAGATTTTGATTCTGTAACGACCACACCCATTCTCTGGAGCTGGGGGGAATATTATGCAATCTGGTTATATTTTTTCTCCCTCTTCCTCCTCATCCTTTTCAATATCTTTGGGGGGGAAATCAAAGAAGAAGAACAACAAAGAAGACACGTTGGCATCAAGTCTATTCTGACTTACGGTGACCCCATGTGACAGAGTACCTTGGCAATCACCTTTATAGAAACAGGCCACCCGACCTGTCTCCACAGGCACTCCGGGTGGGCTCAGAATGCCAACCGTTAGATTGGTACTCAGGTACAAACTATTGGCACCACCAGGGGCCCAAGATATCCATGTATCTTACACCATGTGAGGACCATTATGGAGGCCTGGCTGGGGTGTAGGGGTGGGGACCCAGCTGACTCAAGACAAGCAAAGACAGCAGAGGGACAGCCCTCAACCCTCTGTGCGGAGAGAGACGCTGAAGGAACAAACCTCTGGCCAACCACAGATCCCCTGGGCCTTCGGGGTCTGCTCCTCTCCCAGGCTTCTCTGTGAGGTTGGGTGGATGGCTTGACACGTGCCGACCCCTAGTTTCCTTAACCAAGGACTAAGGTCAGTGAATCTTTTGTTATTGTATACACAGGCGACAGACCCAGATGAATTGGTGGCCAGAATTCCCCTTCATGAAAAGCTAAAGTCACCAAGCCTTCCGTGGTGTGCTGAAGCCTTCTGTGGCTGGGTTCATTTCTCCAGAGCAAGCGCGGGCGATGAATGGGGCGGATGCAGTGCTTCGTTCGGAGTGTTGTGTGTTTCTACACACCTGCGTTGTGCTAAACGATCTCTTGAGGTTATTTCTAGTTCTTAGAGCTATGACTCCATGAACAACTAACTTCTTTTGTGATCGCTCATAAGGGTCCCTGTCACGTGTAGTTCCTTGGCACAGACAGGATCAGGGAGGTTAACGGAATAATTTCAGCCCAGGAAGCACAACCACACTTACTCTGAAACCGTGGCCGGGGTAGTTGAAGCCCACCGGCTCGCTGCCTTGCTGTTCTCTGTCGACAAATCCCATACAGCGTTGGTGGTGGGTGCCGCCCGGCTGGGTTCTGCCTCAAAGCAAGCCCGTGCATACCAGAAGGAAGCACCGCTCGGTCCTGCGCCAGCCTCACAACGGGTCTTCTGGTAGGGAGCCGTTTGTCATTTAGATGGACGCTTGTGAGAGTGAAAGGGGTGACCGTTCATAAGTTTGCTGGGACAGCAGGCACAAACCATGGCACATGGGCATTGTAGACATAAGGGGGAAGCACAAGGTGGACTTTTATTTCTCTGTTTCTGGATCTTAAGCTTGAATTCCTCAGATTTCCTGAGGTGCTTTAACTTTACAATTATTTGTACTGCTTGCCACTCATGGACACACTCCTGTGTGGTTAGGTTGGCAGCCCTGGAGCCCAAAGCAAAACATGGAGAGGCGTCCTCAGCCCAGCCCCAGCATAGCGAATCACAATGACAACGAACTTGGATTTCAATTGGTCCCTCAGTTTCTACTGCCCCCTCAGAGCAGCAATGATGAGCTCCTACAGATAGAGTCAGGGTCTCCGCAAAGGCAGGGCTTTGGTGTGCTGTAGAGATGCACCCGGTTTTGCTGGTCTCTTGTCCGTCTATCTATTCTCAGAGCAAATTCTGAGCTGGTGTCTGATTCTGCCACACAGAATCCCAAAGAGGCTCCAGTCAGCTTGGTTAGCCAGCCTGTTTCTTACTGTGCAAAAATAATAACAGAGAATGTTCTCAAATGACAGGGTAACCATTTGCCTCCAAACTTATTTTTCTCGTAGCCACCAGTCTTGGCTGTGAATGGTCTATTCTTGGCAGAGTGTGTGCCGTGCAGTAGTTAAGATCATCAACACTGCCACAGACAGTCTTGGTTTCAAATCCAGACCCCACCTATTGCTAAGTGGTTAATTTCTGAAGCCTCGGTTAATTTTCTCTTCTGCACATGAGGAAATAATGCCTATTTCATAAGAGTTGGTGTGCGGATTTGACTCAATATTATGCTTAAAGCATTTAGCTTATTGCCTCAGAGGGAGCCATCGATAGAATGGTTGTTTCCAAGATCATTGTTGAAGCCTTGGTTCCCAGTAGCCTACTCAACTCTCAGTGGGTGAGTGAGGTTTGTACACAGCTGAACACGCAGAAATCATGCCCCACACGGTCTCTATTTGCTCTTGTATCTCGGGGCACAGACTTTGAGCACTGACTTAGACTAGACTATAAACTCAGAGAGAAATGAGCATGTGTTCTCATTGCCCCAGATGATGGCGTTATGTTTTCTGAACTCCAAATCAAACCATATCATTTCACCATAAAAAAGACCATTGAAACTTGCATTGTCTCATAGAATAAAGTATTCTTATCATCATGATTTCCCTAGAGTTGGTCATCAGTAAGTGTCCATGAAATATACGTAAGGGTCAATCAGAAGCCATTTCTTCTTCTGCTGCTGCTGCTAAACACACATCCGTTTCATATGGATATATTTGCTTTAGGAAACAGATGGTCCTAAAATTAGAATCATTCAAGGGGAGTCTTAAAATACTGACTTTTTTATATATAAACGTGTAGGAGGAATATACCGCAAGGGAGTCTAGGAATTGTAAAAGGCATGAAGGGTGAAAGCAGAATCAGGAATCCAGAACATGCATGCGTGCTGTAGAGAGCAGTGTCAAATTTGAGAAGAGCCTGGGCCTGCAGTGACCACACAGGTGAGAATTAGGGGTACAGTTGTCTTGACTCCACTCTCCTTTGTACCTCAGATCTTCTGCTATTTGGTCCCATGAACTAAGCCCAATAGGCAGCCCCAGGGCAAGCGAATCCAGTGATGTATCCCATCATCAGGCAAAGGTGAGGCGGGGATGGTCCATGAGAGACAGTGTGTACATGTCCTACACAGTATCTTGTGCTACGGAGCACATGTGCTATATTGAGGCACAATTTTTTTTGTTATTGTTGAAGAAATTAAAAGTGAAATATCATCCGAAGTTATGATTCTTTAAGATGTTCCCCACCTGGAAATACCACCACCTCCACCTTCTGGAAGTTATCATCTCCCTGGAGAAGTTGCCCATACACCCACCTGCCTCTCATCACCTTCAGACTAGGAGGTGTCATTCATCAGTAGTCCTGAGCACCTTACTCTGAAACCTATCCTAGCACCTCTCGTTATAATGAATGGCTTCCTTGGTGCAAGAAGTCTCTGGATACTACAAATTGTTAAGTGGGCAGCTACTAAGTTAAAGGTTGGTAGTTCGAATCTACCTAGACGCTCCTCAGAAGAAAGACAAGGCTGCCTGCTTCAGAGAGCTCATCGCCGATGAAAACCCCCGAGGTGCACTTGGTTGTACCATGTACCAACTTGTTTGGCTTGGATTTTATTTTTCTTATCTAGCTGTACTTTGATGGAACCTTGGGGGTGCAGTGGTTATTAGTTGGGCTGCGATTAACATGGTTGGCATTTCAAAACCACTAGGAGAAAGACTGGACTTTCTACTCCCTATAAACAGTTACAGTCTTGGAAATCCCAGGGGGTCGCTATGAGTCAGCATTGACTCAATGGCAGTGAGTTTTGAGCTTTTGAGATGTGCTTTGATGGTGAGATAGTTAAGGTTTAGTGTGCCAACCTGGCCGATAAACACATGTGGGGTTAATTGAAGGGTGGCGAGATAAATGGCTCGGTGGGTGAGCCTCACCTTTCTAGTTCTCGGGTCTCTTGCTTTCTGATGGTCGGACCAGGGTACAGCTGCCTTAACCAGTTCCCTGCTTCAGCTGGCAAGGCTCACTTCCTGCAAGACATCCCTGAGGAGAAACCACATGGACCTACCCTGATGCAGCCCTGGGTGCTGGAGCAGCCATGTGGAGAGCCCTGCCAGTGTTGAGATGCTTACATGCTCACTGATTCGGCTTTCCCCCTGCAGTCGGCATCATTGCGTGTGTTTTGTGAGATGGAGGAGGACTTTGTAGATCGGTATTGGATATATGGGCTAATGTTGGACTTATGGGCTTGGGCAGCACTGGGTTGGGATGCTTTCTTAATGTACATGTACCCTTTATATAAAACTCTTTCTTATACATGAGTTTCTGTGGATTTGTTTCTCTAATGTCCCCAGACTCACACAGATGGCAAGGACTATGTTTTGGCCCCTTTTTATCTCATGGTACTCCTCTTTTTATGTGGCTGTCACATAGTAGGTGCTCAGTCGTTCTTGTTGAATGAATGAGTAATTTCGCATGAAAGAATGCTTGCCATTAGCCGATGTAGTGTTTCACTTCGTTTTCTAGATTCGTATTCAGAATCAACTGCTTTCATCAGCAAATAGAACTATTACGTCTTAGAAGAGTAGGCCTGTTAAGAGCAGTGGAGAGAGGTTGGAAGGCATTGGCACCTTTGAACAGCTGGACTGTGTTTGCAGTGCTGTGGGAAGCATGGAAGCCAGCAGGAAGGTGTGGGAGGAGAGCGTTGGTCAGAGTAGGGGACAATGTCTGGGAAAATGTAATCTCCATTTGTGAATTCTTTGTAGAGGGATCTTCGGCATTGCTTCAGCTAACGCTTGAATTCCCAGTAGATCCCTCCCTTCTTGGAAGCTCTGAAGATAGAGATTTAATATAAGTGGTATATGATTCTGTTAGGAAGATCAGTGGCATTGACAGGAAGCTCGAAAAGCCGAGCAACTGTGAAATCTCTTTACCAGACCAACTCTTAGTTGTTCAGTTTTGTGTGTGTGTGTGTACGCGTGCACATGTGCATGTGTATTCACATATGGAGGTCCCCTTTTCCCTGAGGATCCATTAGGCTCCATCCAGGACTAAGAATTGGACCAAGAAGCTTTTATTGTGGGAAAAGTAATGAAAATGGTAGAAAATAGCCCTTGGGTAGCATTTTCCATTCTACTCACTCCTAACACACTTCTTCCTTCCCTTGCTGGGTTTTGTTGAGCACTCGCTGCAAACTTGAAATTTTCCATCTGGTGAGCTTGGTTCACAAGCAGTAAATATTTGCTGAGTCCTCACTGTGTGCAAGGGGCAAGTTCAGCTTCCGTCGCGTGTTGATTTTTTATTTGCACAGAAGTGGCTGTAGCAAAAAGATAAATACTGACCTTTATAAGGATCTCTGTCTAAATAACCAGGGTGTTGAACCGTCTGTTATTCTAAACAGCTCAGGATGCCTTTAATGTTTCCTCCCTTCTTTGATCTGGAAGCTTTGCCATGCGGTTGGGAGAGCTGTTGTTCTCTCCATGTTGTCTAAGGGGAAGGAAGCCTAGCAAAGGTGACCTTGGTCAGGGTCACAGAACTAGATTGGGCTGTTCCATGGGTCTGCTAGCTGTCATTTTCCCATTAATTGACATGGACTAGTGGGAAGACCCTTATTTGATATCCTTTCTTTGGTCACACCACACAAAGAATTAGAACTCAACACTGACCCAGGGAAAACTTGAATCATCCCTAGTAGGCTTTGCTAAGTTCTTTGGGCCTAAAGATCACATGTGGGAAATTCCTGAAAAGCAATGAGTTATATGACACTCATGTACGTTACATGCTGGTACGGTGATACTCAAATCATGGTAATGCTTTAGACGTTGCTTAGTAAAGACTCTGTGTAGTGATGGTGGTGGTGGCAGCTGCAGTGGCTGGGAGAGGGGCGAGCAGGATCGCACTGGCTCCCTCCGTCTTTCCCATTTCTTAATTAACATTAAGCAACCCCAGTTTTACACTACTTTTCACAATGAGTTCATTTGGACAACGATTAAGTGGTCCTTCATGTGAATTTGAGATTCAAGAAAAACATTGGGGACTGGACCTTGTGTCTCACTTGACCACAGCTGCTTCTGTTCGGCCTGCCCTTCGAGACGTGCCCACGGGTTGATTCTGACCCATAGGGACCTGGCGTAGAATAGAAGGAACCCTCACACTCATCCACGTTTGAGCCCACTGTTCCAGCCACTGTGCCAATTGCTCCTTGGGGGGGAAGGGGAGTCTTCTTCTTCTTTTTTTTGCAGATCCTATTGACTAGAAAATTCTAGTTTTACCAAAAAAACCTCCACCCAGTTTCTAATTTATTCTGGAATGTTCTACAGGAAACCAAAAGAGTTGTTGGGTGTCATTATCTGGGGGGTGTAACCTCTGCTCACAGACATAATTCCAGCTTCCACAAATGCCCTGGCTTACAATAAACTCAGCCAAGGTATGTAACCTGGAGCTGAGAAATCATCTCCAGAACTCTTACCGAAATCTCTAGAAAGTGTTCACACTGCTGCAACTGGATGGCTTTGGCAGCCCCTCCTTCCTGCCCCGGCTTTCTGATCCCCTGGCAAAGTCAACATTGTCTCGGCCACCTAGTGCTGCTGTAACAACATGCCACAAGTATCTGTGGTTTTAAAGAACAGAAATTAATTTTCTTACAATTTTGGTCAAAATCCAAGTCAGGGTAGCTGCCATGTTGATTATTTCCTTATAGTCTGAGGCATTCTTTGCGTTGCATACAATTCTCACACATCATCTGTTTTCATGTGCGTGTGTTCAGGAGTGATTAGGTTTAGGACTCACCCCACCGTAGTATGGCATCATTACCATAACAAAAGAAAACGTCATTTCAACAGGTTTACATCCACAGGTCTAAGGGTCAGTCAGGAATTCAATACATATATTTGGGGGGACTGATGGGGGATGAAATCCAATCTGGAACAACCACTACCCTTGCCTAAACTGTAAAAGATCAATGGGAGAAAATTACAAAGTATTAGCTGTTTCTTTAGTGGCTACTGAGCAGAGGATCAGGCCCTGGCTTTCTTTACAATTGTGGGCTCAAGTTTCTCATGTAGAAAATCGGGAAATTCTAGCTCTGTCCAGCTCACACAGTTATTGAAGGAGTCACATAAAATAATGTATTTGCCAGCACTTGATAAATGGAAAGATATCAGATAATTTTACTAATTTTGAGAACCAGTATGGCAATAAAGACGCTGTGCCGATTTCCAAGAAAAAATTCATTTCAAAGTGCAAAAACCCCAATCTCTTATTTGCAATGTATTAGTGAAACCCTTTTAGCACATCGGAAAATATGCATAGAACCCTGATTGTGTAATGGTGAAGCGTCAGACTGCTAATCGCAAGATCTGTAGTTCCAAACCACTAGCTGCTCTGCAGGAGAAAGACGAGGCTTTTTACTCCATAAAAAGTTACTGTCTCTCTCTGGCTCTCTTCCCTCTCTTGCTGGGCTCTCGCTGGTCGCTCCCCTCTCTTCCCCCTCTCCTCTCCCATCCTCCTTTCCTTCCCTCTCTCCCTCCACATGGACCACCAAGTGGGGCTGAGGAAAAAGACGAAGTAGAGGGGATATCAATAGGTGCTATCCTTTCTGACTATCAGCATGTTCGAGTGGAAAATGTGTGTAAAAGACTTAATTTCCAGACTTGGCAGAGAAACCAGAAAGATTTGCTCTGAGAGATGATAGCGTGTAACATTCAAGCGTGATCATCAAAGTAGCAGCTCTTGGTTTAGATTCAGATAAGCATCTTGGGAAAACCCTGCATCAAATGGAGCCATATCTTTTAGAGCTTTCTGAGAAGTATGGGGCCCATGTTTGTGGAGAAGGTGGAGAATATGAAACATTCACTTTGGATTGCCTTCTATTTAAAAAGAAAATAATTTTGGATTCGTCTGAAGTAATCATGCATTCAGTCGATGCCTCTGCACCTGTAGCATATCTACGCTTTTTAGAAATCCACTTGGAGGATAAGGTGTTACCAGTGCCTGACAACAATAGAACATCTAATTTGATATATAATTCTTGAAAAGCATGTCGCACATAGTTCATTAAATTATATTCATTAAGATATTCTATTTGAAAACACATTATAACATTTTATCAATAAAAAAAAAAGTTACAGTCTCAGAATCCCACACGGGCAGTTTGACCCGGTCCTAAAGTCAGAATCCACTTGATAGCAGTGAGGTGGGTGTGTTGGTTTGACAAATGCATGTGGCCATCAGCCCTGTGGTCCTTGGAGCCGTGTGATGTGCTCAATTAGCTTCCTGGAGCTTCAGGTAGATGCAAAAAGTTGGGGTTTTTTTAAGCCAGGCGGGAGGTGGTTCCTTTGAAATATCTTTTCATTTATTTATTTATTTATCCATTCATCCAGCAACTGTTTACTGAATGTCTATGAAATAAATAGGGTGGCTATGTGTTGGAGCCCTAGTGGCACGGTGGTTACACGTTGGGCTGCTAATTACAAGGGTAGCAGTTTGAAACCCCCAGTTGCACTGAGGAAGAAAGAAGAGGCTTTTGACTCTGTACCAGTTATAGTCCTGGAAACCCACAGGGGCAGTTCTGCCCTGTACTTTCGCCCATGACAGTGAGTTTGTTGTTATGTGTCGGAACTGACCAGATGGCAATGAGGTTGGTTTGGGGTTTATGGACTCAAATGAGATGTTCTGAGTCAGTGGTTCTCCACCTTCCTCAGGCCGCAACCCTTTCATACAGTTCCTCGTGTTGTGGGGACCCCCAACCATCAAATTATTTTTGTTGCTACTTCATCACTGTCATTTTGCTACTGTTATGAACGGCAATGTAAATAGCTGATAGGCAGGATGCATTTTCATTGTTACAAATGGAACATAATTAAAGCATAGTGATTAATCACAAAAACAATATGTCGTTATATATTGTGACATATTTATTTCTAATTACAAGTAAATGAAACTTTGTCTTGGAGCATGGTGCAGCATGGATAACAGTCTTCACGAGTGGTACTCATAGGCGGGGCATATCTGCATGTGGGCGGACCCACCCCGAGACAGATAGAGGAGCGCTATCTAGGTTTCTAAGACCATGGGAAATACGTATGTGTTTTCCGATGGTCTTAGGCGACCCCTGTGAAAAGATCATTCGACCCCCAAAGGGCTCGCACACACGGGTTGAGAACCGCTGCTCTAAGTAGCTGAAGAGTCATGATTGTCTCATCGCTCACTCTCGATCTTCCTGTCATACAATCTACCTTCAAGAGAAGAAGCAAACCAAAACAGTGGCTGTTGGGTCATTTCCAACTCGTGGTCACCCCATGTGTGTCAGAGTACGACTGTGCTCTGTAGCGCTTCTGATGGCTGATTTTGGGGGGTGGGGAGTGGATCACCAGGCCGTTTGGGGAGGCACCTCTGGATGGACTCTGGATGGACTCGAAGCACAACCTTTCACTTAGCAGCCAATTTCATCCATGGACACCGCAAATCCATCTCTGGAATATATTAATAATCCTCCATGACTGAAGATAGCCAGCCTGTCTTAGCCTCCCAGTCCCCCGTAGTTTGGTAGGAGTTCATTTCAACGCAAATATTTTTGCAACCATTACATAACTCAGTACTTCAAACTAGCAGGTTGAGTTACAGCCACAGAGATTGTGTCAAAATTTCCTAAACGGTGGTTCTGAAGTTTCCACCCTGTGACCAGTGTTTTGTTCCTGTGGGTGTGTTGGCTGGGGGTCTCTAAACTTGAGTCACGCAAGGGCCTGTTGGCTTTGCAATTAGCATGTCTTCCCTCCCTATGAGGGAACATACTATCAACATTCTTCCTTACCTCAAAGCTCTGGGGGGTTAGTCATTTCACGAAGGCTAGCGATTCAATACCTAGCTTTTCCCTCCCCTTAAGAGTTAAACTGAAACCCAAACAGCAAATCCAAAGAGAACCAGCCAGGAACAGCTATGAAAGAGGCCAACGTGATTTTTTAGTTGTGAGAGCTGAGGCTTCAGGACCAGGCAGGTGGTGTGAATTTGTGCTCCCCTGAAGAGCCGTGTCCTCAGGCAAAGTCTTCACCCCTCCAGTGCCTCAACTGAGTAAAACCAGCCCAAACCTCCTCGCTTGCTGTCCGTGTGTCAGAGTAGAACTATGCTCCACAGCCATTTGCATTCTCGGGAAGTAGATGTCCTTTGAGGAGCCTCTGGGTGGGTTTGAACTGCCAACCTTTTGATTGCCAGCAGGGAGCACTTGATGGTGTGCCCTGTGCCCAAGGACTCCTAATGGGACACAGATGTCTGCATTGCAGGTTTTTAACCTAGTCTGCAGGAGGACCCCTTGTGTCATGGATCTGAGCTCCCACTTTTGACATCTTATGTTTATTATCCTAAACCTCCGCGCTCATCTGCACTCATATAGCCAGATTTAATATAAATGTTTTCCCTCCCAAGTCTTTGAGTAAAACTGGAGTTCCAGGAAGCTTTGCATTCCTCTATTACAATACAGCACACCTCCAGGCTGTGCCTACAAGTGTGGCTATTAAGATGAGACTTGGGCTAAAGGTACCCATAGGTATGTACAGTCGGACTATATTGGCTGTTGACAGAGTAAAACAACTTTGTATCAGCTGATAAATAGCTGCTCCCGTGTCTATGGTCTATGACACTCTCTTCTGCAGAACCCTCATCTCTGACTGGTCCGGGAACAAGAGTTAAGGCCTGCCCCCGCCCCACAGCCCCTTGGCATAGACCTCCAGGACTCCCTGTTCTGACTCTTTGGTGCTCTGTGCCACATATGCTGTTAATTATTTTTACTCTCATCTCATGCTCCATGTTACATACATAAAGTTCTAGGTATAAGCTAGGAGCTAAAAAAGCAATGCGTCATTTTAGTCCTGTGCCTTTGATTGATTTGAATGCTGGCTACTTGAAAATATCTCTCTTGTTCTGTATCTTTGAACTGGGTGGAATCAACAACCTGGCGGTTGGGTTTTTTTGCCTTGGTTTGTGGAGGGGTTCAGCATTTCTTTCTCCTCTGCTTAGGCACACTGCCTTCATTCCCTTTGGGGACTGTGTCACCCCCATTCTCCATGTTGTCAGGGAGCCTTCTCAGTCCCCTCCTCCTGGGGTTCCTGAAACGGTACTCAATACAGGTCTAGAAAAGTCTCGTCTCCATTCCTGTGGTCAGGGTTCAGCAAACGGTGGCTCTCAAGCCGTAGGTGCTTCTTTTTGTATGTACATGTGGTTCTGAAGTAAAATTGAAAAAAAATTCAAGGATATTATTCAGATAATGCTGATTTTGTTGGTTTGGATAAATATATTATGGCGCTCCAATCATTTTTAAATTGTCGTGAGAGACAGGATTGGCTCTTCTGCCTCAAAATTTTGCTGACCTCTGTGTGTGACCCAACGCTGATGTATGAAGGTCTTCCCCTAGAGTGGTATATTTGAATGTGGGGACCAAGAAACTCTTTTCCCCCTTTGAAAATGAGCTGGAAGGGCGGGGATCCAAGTTCTGGTGCCAGTGTCTGTCCCATTACCCAGTAAGCAAGGTCAACACAAGCTTACACAGAGCACTAATCTGTGGTGCACCCATCACAGTTTAAGGCTGGCATCGATCTTGCTTCCAAACCCACAGCCCCGTCCTTCAGACTCCAAGCCTCTTACCCAATTTCCAGTCCCCGACCGAGACGGCGTACTCTTAAGCCAGGGAAGCACTGGCTTCCTTGCCTTGATTTACTCATCCGAAGTGAACCATTCCACATGTTTCTCACCACAATTGCCTGCTACAGATGGGTGAGTAAGCACAAGCATGCCCTTGCTGACCTTGGTTCCTGGGTGATCAACCCGGTCTGGAGGTCTGGAACCTGTGAAATGACACCTGGGCGGCGGGAAAAGGTGGTGGAGCATAAGAGGGGGTCCCAATGGCGCTGTCTGCGTGGAGCTCAAACTCCTGTCCTTTACAGCAATGATGCTCAAACTTTCGTGCCCACCATCAGCAACACCGGCATTGTCATCCCAGGCAGCGCTAGCAGTGAGGGTGGTGGCCAGGCTTGTGAGGGAGGGAAAGGGCCAGCCTTCTGTACTTTATCACTGCTCGCTCGGACATGCACCAACGTTGGAGAAGGACAGCTTGACAAGCATTACTGGGGGGCTGTGGAGGTTAGCAGGTCAATTTTCCACTCATAGTGATCCCACAGGCCAAGTTAAATGGCCCCGGGGATTTTCCTAGGCTGTCATTTGGACAGCAATGCAGGGCCAGGCCAGGCCTTTCTCCCACGGATCCCATGCCAGGGGTCAAACCGCCAACCTGTCGGTCAGTGTGCCATTAGGGTTCCCTAAGGGAGCCATGCATCGCTTTGGCTCTAGCCACCTGAGTTCCAGAGACCAAGAAACCCGCCTAGTGCCCTGTGGTGCTGCATCTGCACCTCCGGGGAAGTCCCGGTCACCTGCTCACAGTGGTGGAGCTTAGTGAGCTGCAGTTTTTGCTCATGAAGAATACACTCCATGGACCTAACCCAATGGTGGCACGAGGGATGCACTGGCGTGACTAGAACAGAATTCACCTGCTGTCTTCTGGGGTGCTCCTGCTTGTACAGTGGCCTGAAGGGCATTCACTGAGCTGAAAGGAGGTAGGGGTACCCTGCTTTATCGGGGTCTGCCTAAGGAAATGTGGAAATCAGCAACCAAGAGCAGAATAAAGACTAGCGGCAGCCACAAAAACACGGCATCGTCTGGGCTCTTTCTTGCTTTGCCTCTGCTTTCCCCGGCTTTGGATGCACTCTGAAACTTTCAACTCCCAACACCAAGCCCATGGTCAGTGAGTCACATGATCGTGCTTTCATGTGGACTCACAGCAACCCGGTTGGGCAGGGTCGAACAGGCCCTGTGGGTTTCCGAGACTGTATCTCTGTCCAGGAGTAGAAAGTCCCATCTTTTTCACTTGGAGCTGCTGGTGGTTTCAAACTGCTAAGGTTATGGTTAATAGCCCAACGTGTAAACTCACTACACCACCAAGACTCCTGCACCGGCATGAAAGCTTGGATAAACAAATCGATACAATACA